CGATTTTGGGTGTTGGTCTAGAGCTATTGTAGAGGCTGTTTTAGAGGGTCATTTGATGGGGCTTTGTCTTCTCTTGCTGTTGTGAAGGTGTGGGCACAAGCAATTGAAGTTTGGTGGAGTTTTTAGGGATGTTCTATTTTTGCCCTAATTTTTAAGCTCAAAATTAGGGTTACACAAGGGGGAATTAAGGCAATGAAGTGATTAGGATGGGCTGTGAATGTCTCAAAGAAGCTCTGTGAGTAATTTGGGATGCTCTCTCTTAGAAAACTTTAGCACACCTCCCATGGCCGTGGAGGGGAGTTTTTATAAAATTGACCATGGGGTGGCTCTCAGGGCAAATGTTTGGGTGCATTGTGGTGCTTAGGTGGAGGGTAGAGGAGCTCTACAATTTGATTTGGCTGAGCTGGCCTCTAGGTTTGATTTGGATGAAGCTCCATGGGAGTGGCTCTCAGTTTCAAGCTTCTCCAGTGATTAGGCCGGCTGGCCATGACAGGGGGAGGTGGCTAGGAGCTAAAAGCATCCAGGGGAATCTGTCAAAGAAATTTATTGCAATGGGGTTTAGTTTTGGTAAGGGTATCTTAAGCATGTGCATTTTTGGAAATATTGCATTTTTGGAAATAAGATCCCTTAATTTGGGGGAGTTTTGGTCCATGACTTAGTTTAGGTGGCCAGATGGATTTTGGCTCAATCTTAGGGTCTAACCAATGGCTGGGGTGGAGTTAATTTGATTGCTTTAAAGTTGTTTGGTCATATATAATGCATGGATTCAAGTGATCAAAGTTTGAGATTGGGCTCGGTTAGCCATGTCAATTAACCCAATTGATTGATTAATATTGTGTAGATGATTGTTGTGAAGATTTTTGGTGAAGGGGTGAAGTGATTTTGAGTTTAATTGGTATGTCAATTTGATGGATTTTTGAAATTTGGCCAATTTGGTCATGTTGGGTTAGACATGGGTCTAGGTTGAGCTAGCCTTGGGCCAATTCCAAATTGAATGGTTCACATGATCAAGGGAGATGTTGTGAAGATTTTTAATGAAGGGATAGAGTGGAAATTTTGGGGGATAAGACCCTTAATTTGGTGAGACTTTGACACATGGTCAATTTGGGGAAAATTTGGGGCTTTTGGACATAGGTTGAAATCAAATGAAATTGAGGTCTCAACAAGGCCAATTGAAGGTCAAATTTGATGTGTAGGAATGTTATGAAGATTTTTCAACACAACTTGTGGCAAATGGAGTAGGCCATGGGTTCAATTTGGTCGAACCAAGTCATTGTGCCAAAATTGGGTTTTTGGTTTAGCTCAAAATTGGGTTCAAATCAAGGACCAATTGAGCTAGGATTTGGTATAGATTGGTCATATCAAAGATGGCCAAATTGGCCAAATTGCGTCATGTGATAGTTAAGAAAAATGAAATTAGGAATATTTGGGAGGTTTTGGGATTTTTTTGGGAATTTTTAGAATTTTTGGAATTTAAGGGTAAAGAAGGGTATTTTGGTAATTTGGGGGAATTTAAGGGCAAAAAGGCTGGATTAGGTGTCTTGGTAGAGTTTGAATGCCAACCACCATTAATAAGCCATGGAACAATAGAAGACCCCATTTTGGGTCCTCTATGTAGTGGTTCTTAGCTAAACCCTAGCCTAGGGCTAGTGGGTTTAGGGGACCACCTACATGAGTCTCCCAAAAGTATCAAGGGACCAAAGCCAAGAAATTTTGGGTTTAGGGTAGTGAGTGATTGTGAGTGTAAGTGATTCAAGTGAGTGCCTTAGCCCTAGACCAACACTCAGGCGGGTCATTCCTAAGGTCCAGCAGTCCTAAGGGTGACTCATCTTGAGTTCCCCCATAGTGACCCCACCTACTAAGTGCTAGAGGTTAGGACCATTATGTGGAACTCCAGGCTAAGTAATAAGTAAAGAGGAGTATAGACTTTCTAATGGTGAGGGTTCCATGTCTAGTTTTCTAAGAAAGTCAATAGGAATGTCCCATTGCTAGACCTTAAGCTACTAAAGAGGAAATAGTAAACCTCAACAAAAAGTGAGGTCAACAAATGGACCCCCAAAAGGTGTGGTGTGCTGGGGAAGCTCACCGCGCGTATTGGTGTTAACCGATGAGATCAACAAAAACCAATAAAAACTCTTAAGTCAACAGACTCAGAAGTATGTGCAGAGTTGTCTGTGTGATCTATTTCTGCTGGGGAATTAACAGATGATCGTTTGATTGAAATCAAGGAGTAGGGACTCTCGCTGGGGTTCGGAGAGTGAATTTTGAGTTATGAAATTTCAGGTATTTATAAAGGATGGGAGTCAGAATATAGGTGCTGGCCCCGAGGTGGGAATTGAAATTTGGGTATCAATCTCGTAATAAGAATCAGATGCCATAATCCATTTAAGGTGGTCTTGAAACTTATTTCAAAAGATGAGAATAGGAATTTTGTAGAAGGACCGAATGGAGATGGAAAAGACAGAGGCTGAGATTCGACTCCAAAGAAAATATCTGCTATATTTAGGAGGAAAGCACTGGGACTCACATCCAACTCAAGAGGTAACAAGAAATTATATGCATCATGTTAGCAAGGAAAGCACTATAACTTACATCTAACCCAAGAGGTGACAAGAGAATATATGTGCTACATTGAGAATGAGAGCACTAAGAGGAAATCACTGTGACTCACATCCAACCCAAGAGGTAATAAGAAAATATATGCTACATTGAGAAGGAAAGCACCAGAACTTATATCCAACTCAAGAGGTAACAAGAAAATATATGTGCCTCACGTTAGGAAGGAAAGCACTCAGACTCACATCTATCCCAGGAGGTAACAAGAAAATATGTGTGTCACATTAGGAAGGAAAGCACCAGGACTCACATCCAACCCAAGAGGTGACAAGAGAATATTTGTGCTACATTTTGAAGGAAAGCACTAAGACTCACATCCAACTCAAGTAATGACAAGGAAATATGTGTGTTACATTGAGAAGGAAAGCACCAAGACTCACATCCAACTCAAGAGGTAACATAAAAATATGTGTGTCACGTTAGGAAGGAAAGCACCAGGACTCACATTCAACGCAAGCAGTGACAAGAAAACATGTGCGTCACATTAGGAAAGAAAGCACCAGGACTGACATCCAACCCAAGAGGTAACAAGAAAATTTGTGCGTCACGTTAGGATGGAAAGCACCAAGACTCACATCCAACCCATAAGGTAACAAGAAAATTTGTGCGTCACGTTAGGAAGGAAAGCACCAGGACTCACATCCAACCCAAGAGGTAACAAGAAAATATGTGTGTTACGTTACGAAGGAAAGAACCAGGACTCACATCTAACCCAAGAGGTAACAAGAAAATATGTGTGTCATATTAGGAAGGAAAACACCACGACTCACATCCAACCCAAGAGGTGACAAGAGATTATATGTGCTACATTGAGAAGGAAAGCACTAGGACTCACATCCAACTCAAGAGGTAACAAGAAAGTATATGCGTCATGTTAGGAAGGAAAGCACCAGGACTCACATCCAACCCAAGAGGTGACAAGAGAATACATGTGCTACATTGAGAAGAAAAGCACTAGGACTCACATCCAACTCAATAGGTTACGAGAAAATATATGTTCTTATGCACAAAATATGCAGATTCACACATGTGAATTTGTGGGGAATATTGTTGCAGATTCACACATGTGAATTTGTGGGGAATATGTGAATAGAATATGTGAAGAAATTGGAAACCTTAACATCCATTGAAGGGGGCCTCACACCGATCTTCAGAGAATTTGAAATTTGAAGGAATCATAAGCTTTAAAATCCATTGAAGGGGACCTCACACCGATCCTCAGAGAATTTGAAATTTGAAGGAATTAGAAGCCTTAACATCCATTGAAGGGGGCCTCACATCGATCCTCAAATATGGGGAGTAAAAATTTGCGTACTGACCCCAAGAGTCAAATGAAAACAGTGTAGAGAGTTTGTGATGTTGAATTTACAGAAATGTGTCATGTGAAAAGGTTAATTTTGTTGAGGAAGATTTTTAGAGCTTTATTGGGTTTTTGTGCAGAATGTGAAATTCCGCAAGGATGTGAAGAGAGTTAATGCAGATTAAGATGGTTGTGTTGCGCTCACGAAGAGTAAGAAACTTCGAAAACAAGAGAATCCACTCAACAGATTAATCTTCTTTACTTTTTGTTTTTCATCTCATTTAATTTTTTTCAAAAAAATAATTTCTTTAAAATTTTAATTTTATTTAATTTTAATTGGTCTTTTAATTTTAATTGGTCGATTTTCAAAAGAAATTTATTTTGTTGTTTGTTCATTTGAAATTATATTTGTTTTGAATTTCATTTTATTGTTAAAGGTTTGTCGTTTAGTTCTTTTTTCATTGAAATTATGAACCAAAATGTGGTTCGTTCCTTCCATCCATCGCACAAAAAGGCAACTGAAAAAAATATACATTTCTGAGAGAAATTTTCATTAATCTACTTCAATAAAGATGTCACAGATCAAACATAGGCTAACGCTTTAAAAAAAGGTACAATATAGTCCATGTTGGAGTACATCCAGATCATCTCATGCCATGAATACATTATAGGCTGAATATATCAGCTACATATCATGTTGCTTTAAAAAAAAAATAATAAAGTGAACCCTCTAACCATCTGTACCAAGTACAACGAGCTCCTGATCGAGCAGACCTTCTAAGCGTGCTCCAGGAAAAGAGTTCCCTTTGCATGTACTTAGAGGTACAACCCTCTCACAGCTCGTACGGCAGTAGCTCTTCCAGTTTCAGGTCTGGCTGAATTCCATATGACATTTTGTTATCGTCCATCCTGCGGAAGGTCACGGACACCCTATGAAGTCGTACCCCTGGAATGCAATGTTTGGTGACATTTGCACCCTTTCCTTTAAGAACCAAGATTGAACCAACTGAAGATTGAACCAAGATTGAACCAATGGAAAACAAGATTGAACGTTCATGGAGACCTCCATCGAAACCCTAATTGCGGAGCTACGAAATATTTCTTCACCTGCAATAGAACAACTGCGAATAGAACAGTAAGTAGGCGCGAGATATTTTTATGCTGGCGGGAAATTTTTCAGGTTTAGGGTCGGGTCGGGTCGTGAATAATATGAAATTTATTTTTCTGTGCTTTAAAAGGTGGGGTTGGGCTTTCCACGAGGCGGCATTTGATTGGCTACGGACATAGGTCTACATGCGTACTATTGAGGCAATATTTTTTCCTAGTATAGACTTAATATTTTCCCACAGATAACATTAGATTTATATATATAAGTGTAGCTGCATTTATTGGATAAAGCATATATTTAAAACGAAAAAAAAATGATCTAAATAGGGGCCTTCTTTAGATTGAATACAGCTAGAATTGAATATAAAGAACCATGTTTGGTTTTGGCTCAACTAAAAAATGAATCAAATACATGAGAGCTGATCTTTTAGCAAGTTTCGAATCAGCTTTAGAGCAGATTGCTAACAGCCATAACTATAGTTCAACTGAAAAAGTATGTATTGAAAAAAAAAAAGAAGGAAAATTGCAGCTATACCGTTACAAGTAGCGTCACCGCCATGATAATCTCATTCTGAGTCATCGGTCCCATCTTATCCAATTTCTCCTTCGCTAGCTTTGGCGCATCCGGGCTGCTCTTCACCGTCGGCGGATAAATAAAGTACAGCAGCAACGGAACAACAATCAAAGAAACCAGGCCGGGAACAATCGCCGCAACCGCCCAATCAGTCCAACCAATCGTCTGCTTAATCGTATTTAAAGTCAAGTTCGCACTTAGCGGGTTCGCCGCCATTGCCGTCAGGAACATCGACGAAGTGATCACCGACGTCTGAAAGCAAGTAAGCATCAACCACGATCCAAGCCGATTCTCCGTCCCATCCCCAACATTACTTCCGCAAGCCACGCACAGCGACTTCACAAGCGGGAGAAAGATCCCACCAGCCCTAGCGGAAACAGAAGGGATCGCGGGCGCAAGAAGCGCCTCGCTGAAGACAAGACTGTAACCAAGGCCCAAGGAAGAGCTACCAAACAGAGATACAAATTGGTAGGCCACGCGGTTGCCAAGGCCCGTCTTAATGAACCCTCGAGCAAAGAAGAATGCGAGAGCAATAAGCCAGGGAATCGGGTCGCCAAACGCGGAGAAGGCTGCGGTGAAGGTGAGGGTTTTGGTGAGAACGGACGCGCCGAGGCCCAAGAGAGCAACGGCGCCGAGCGGGAGCGGTTGAGTGATGATGCCGACGATAGTGGCGAGAAATATGGCGAGGAGCTGCCAGGCATTGCGGGACACGCCTGAAGGGGCGGGGATGAGCCAGACACCGAAGTCTGAAAGCAAGTAAGCATCAACCACGATGTCAGATATTTCAGATGATCGATGTGAGGAGGTATGCAGTCTGCCTCGTCATATATGTTGATGATGCAGCTGTTTGGGATGTAGGTAGCAGGCAGAATATTCCATTTGACCATTCTTTTGATCAACCACTTTATCATTAGCGGTAGTGGATCTACTTGATCGTGTCTGAGGATGCTAGGCAGATTCCCCAGTCTATCATTTGTGAAGTTATAGCAGTAGCCACACTGGATAGTAATCCTCCATTTTCCTAGCATCCATTTCCTCAGCTTGAAATAGGTCCTTTCCATAAGTAAACCTACTTAACCTTTGTCCCTTAGGTCAAAAATGCAGTCAAGTACACTTTGTTCGTAAGTCTTTGAGAAGACTCTGGTATAAAGTTCTAATCCCTCCAATATGTTGATGAATTTTCCCTGGAATTCTTTGTAAAATTCAAATTCCCTTTTATTTACTTTACTAATTTTGAAGTACTTTATTTTGTAGTACTCCATCATACTAGGAGTCGGTAGCTGTCGCGGGCGTTCCTCCCTCTGAACATTGGCAGGAACCCCAACTAGTGCTGGTTGATCTGGAACACGAGACTTGGCGTCTAGCGGGATGTACGACCCTGGACTCCATGGTACATACTGATCTGTCCCTAGTGGGACGTATGGCTCATCCATCATAAAATCTGAAGTTTGAGACCCATCGGTGGTATACTCTTCAAATGTACTGAAATGTTGTAAATATAGAACAATGCAATCCGGGCATTCTACAAACGCCACAAACGCCCTCATGGCTGATGTCCCGGCCGGTATTTCAGCATTGCATGTCGGGAAACCCTTGCATAAAACAGCTGAAACTGAAAGTGTATCTGACTCTGTTATGAATCCTGGTTCTTCATTTGTGGTGGGTAGGCTAGCAGAAGTTTCTTTCATGTCCAGATTGTAAATACGCCTCTCAGGAATAGGGGTGAGTAAGTTGTTTGTCTCTCTCTGACATCTGCATTTTTGTCGTAGAAAAATTCCTGCGTTGTGTCCTGTAAAGTGAGGTACTTGACATTCGCTCGTTATTGGCGGCTACAAGGCCTCCAGGTGGTGTAGCTTCCATGGAGGGTAGACGGCTGGACCCTTCCATCGGATCTTTCGCTATTATCGCGTTCTTGCCTTTGTGTGAGACATTATCTTTGGTAGTCACCCTCAGCAGTGAAGGCAACTCTTGTTTCAATTACATGGACATCCATGAAATCTTCCTCCAAGTAATCATTGTAATCAAAATTTTAATTGTCGCTATCGACGGAAACTCCGTGTTCACGAGCTAACTCAGAAATCTTGATCCTTAGTTTCTTAACTTTCTCTTCAATTATTGATTCCTTGATTCCTTTAAGATCTAAAGGACCCTGATGGACATCCTCTACTTGTTCCTCCATCTTGCTGGTTATTGTTCCGACGATGTCAGATATTTCAGATCCTGGTTTCATTTCCTGTCCCGCGGGTTCACAGGATTGTATCGGTGCAGCGACCTTGGGTACCCATACCTTTTTCTTTTTCACCGATGATGTCTCAGGACGGAGTGTCTTTGTAGAAACAACAGTATGTCAAGGGAAAGTATGCTCCCCGTGGTGTAAACTGGCTACAACGCCAGGTAATCATCTTTTCTTTGCCTTTGGAATTGTAGAAATATCTCCATAACAGGTGACGGGTAAGATTTTTGGACTCGGCCTCGACTTAACTGGTCAATGGCTTGCGGTCCTCGTAGCAGTATAATCAGTAGTAATCACTGTGGTATCAGCTCTGTTCCCTAAATAGAACCAAACAAGGATGCGAGTAAGTGGCACTCCAGTTGTCTTGTGGGATTGTCTGGCGTACTTGACTCCCTTCAAAATTTCCTTCTTCATGCGAGGGGAAATTGCATGTCCCACTCATTTAAGTAATTCGCTAATCGAACATCCTTCTTTTGTAGCTAGTCTTCTGAAAACTGCACTAACTTGAGTGGTAGGAGTGAACTTACTTATCTCCTCACTGTTTACATGAAGTGATGGTAATGCCGCAGCGATTCTTTGTATGCTCTCATATCCATTGGTATCCGTCAGAGGATTGGAATCTACTCCAATCGTAGGAGTGGATAAATTTCTGGTAACACTTCTTCATCTTGATGAGGCTCCTCATCAACGAGTGTCTCCTTGGGAGCTTGGGCTTTGATGGCCCTCCGAACTTTTTGATTACGGTTCCTTTTTTGGGTCCGGGTCAGCGATACAGTCCTTGATCTTGATCTGATTTCAAACACGGGTGGTGGGATAATTAATCCCTCAGTCGGATCCTCAATAATCTCAATAATCATTACTTCTTTACTTCTTTCTCCTTAGCAGCAGCAGGGCTAGCAGGTTTGGCGGATGCCGTGACGGTAGAAGTTTTAGACTTCTTGCAGGCAGGGAAGTCTTGAAGGAAGTTCAAACTGAATTCTATATATGGTTCATGTAATTCCATTGCGACGATCTTCGTTAACACAAACGGGGCTTTCCCAAGGATGACCTCAAGATCCTTAAATCCAGCTCCGAATTTGATGGTAGGAACGAGGTTACGGGCTTTGTGACTCGTTGGCAGGTTGCAGGAAAAGGTCAGCGTTGGGTAGGCCATTGCAGCAGGCTTTAAAACGAAAAGTTTCAGGGTTAGCTATAAGGCCAAAAACCTCATAATTTTTAGTGCAAGCACTGAAAGTAGAGGTTGATCTATTGACCGGGCAGGTCTTAATTTAAGGGTATTTTAAAATCTTATTTAAGAAAAATCAAGAAGTGTAAAATTTAATTAATGTAAGAAAATTTCAAGAAATAAGAAAATTTCAATGTGCGCGCAGCACAATACAATTTGGTTTAATTTGCAAAGTAGCAAATCAATTTTGGAAGGGAGATGTGAAGTATTTTAGGACCCAGTGCGGAACCCAAATAGTGGTAGATAATGCCCAGGTGGACTAGTCCATCAACTAGTCCACCGACACAGGTGGAACTAGTCCACCGACACACCTTTTGGGGGTCCGACCCCACATGAAAATTTAAAGAGTTCTTAACCCCTTTCTGAACCCCTTTGTTCAAAGATGGTTGAACAGCTAGTCTTGAAGTCCAAGGAGTTGGTTGAACCTTCCCAAAATAGAAATGGGTAAAGTATGTCAACGGAGGAAGGGTAACTTGGTCCAAGAGGGACATGGACACCTTATAGATGTGCAAAGATAATATTTCTTGATTTGTATGGAGAGAAAATCTTATCCCCAGTAGAGTCGCCAGAAGCTGTCGGCACTATTTTTGGTTGGAGTTGCCCGTAAGAAGCTATCGGTCACAAGAATCGAAATCCGCAAGAATAGAAATCCGATCGCCCGCTTTAGAAGGACGTTTTAATTTACATGTATATTTAATTTTAGAGAAAAAATATAAAATCAGATTGACCTCATATTTTTCATGGTTCAAATGAAAGATCGTTGTACCTCAAACCCTGTATCTATCCCGAAAGATAAACACAAGACTTGAGGATGAAGCTTGATCAAATAAACTAAAAAATATATGACATCCATTTGGTGTGTGAAACCTTTATATTTGCCGATAAGTTCCCCTATTTAATATAAACAATTAAATAGGGTTTATATTAAGCTGGGTTTGGACATGCTTCCTATAAGGGCAAGCCCCTATAGTTAATTACATCTTAAATGACCAAAGTCACATAAGAAGACTCTCGATAAAAATCAAGAAATATTATCTTCAAGGAGTTTCGTGTGAAATGGGATTGGCTCAAATTTGGACCATTTTGTTTTTAGAATCCAAAGGAGGAAGAACTAGGGGATGTCTTGGATCCAGAGGAGAACCTCGGTGACTTCCCAGTCTATCCTATTGTTTGGCTTCAATTTTAAGGAAAATATTTAGGTGTTTCATCCTGCTAATTTTAGTTAATTTGGGCTTACATTCGTGTGAAACGATCACACAAATAGCCTAGAAGATGTAAGGGTTTAGGTCGTGACGGATGACAACCTCGGAATCCTTATACGGGTTAAGGCTTATATTATATAACTGGGTTGTACAAAGGCCTAAAGATAAGTTGAGGATTTACGTTGCATAAGCAAGAAACCTCAAAGTCTTATGACTTTATTGTTTAAATCTAAGAAAGGAAGAATGGTTTAGCTGGGGAAGACAGGTTCTGCTGTTGAAGATGGTCGTGTTGCCCACCATGTTAGCTCCAAGCTCCTTGCCTCGACGAGCTTGAGTTTTCTAGTGTGTTAAGTTATAATATCAAAAAAAGGTGGCCCTATCGTTGAAGTTCTAATTTTATGGGGGCATTTTAAAGTTGATTAGAGCGACACCGGTTAGAATCCTATGATTCCCTCGTTCTGGCATCACTATTTTCTATTGGATTCATTTAGTCCGAATGAATTTGCTAAACTCAACTTAATGAGTTCCATAATTTCATTTAGACCGTGGGAAGCCTCGATAGCAACTGTAGGTTACCTCCTCCGAGGTATTCCTGATCATCCGATAGAGATGTCTTAATTTAGTTGAAGTTGATGTTTTGTGTGATGTTTGTGATTAAATTCTGAGTTGTTCTATATTTTGAATTTTGTGGTGGGGAATTTTATCTTGGTTAATTTTAGTTTTAGTTTTGGTTTAGGTTTTGGTTTCGTGGCTATCCTGATAGTTTTAGTTTTCATGCAGGGTGGCATCGTTGTTTAGCATGCAAGTTTGCATGTATAAAAGCGCAGTATGAAAGTACAAGAAAGACAATGAAAAAAACTGTAAAAGTGTACCTGGCGAGTCTTCTCATTCCACCACCTTAAACTCAAAAGGCATGTTAAGGCAATTTATATGAAACATGGAAGTAAAATTTTGATGACATATCTAACCCTAGGCCATATCTTGGTGGGTCTTTAAGAGTTTAATTAAGGATGATGTTGCCAAGCAAAACATATTAAGTTTAGTAGATCTCTGAGGTATCCAACAGATCTAGAGAAAGAAGCAAGTTTGTGCTACTCTCTCGCTGCCTGGTTGAAAATCCCGACTTTTTTTAAATTTATTATGTTGCTTAATAATTCATTTTGTAAATACCCTTGGTGCTCAATGAGCATTGAAGTCTCAATTCTCCCTAAGAATAGGGTAATTATCGGGTAATTATCATCTGCAATGATTTTGTGGGTGAAGACCCTTAAAGAGGCAAGTTAGTGTTATTGGAACACTTAGCCAAATTTTGTTCCTAATTGGGCTAAAGTGTTTTAAAGGTGTTCAATTTTAATTATGTTTATTTTTCTAATCCTTATTTAAATGAAACTTAATTTAGCCTAAGTCACTACTAAGCCCTTAAGACCTAGGTGAGTGTCTTAGTTAGTTTTGAAAAGGTTAAGCTTTAGGTGGTCATGATTCATGATTTGAATTTTATTTGAAAATCAAAATAGAGTTATTAAATTAATTAATTATTAACTTCAAAGGTCACACCTCTAAGTCCTGGGTTCATTTTATTTTAATGAACTTCCAAATTTTAATAATTTAGAAATTTATTAACTTATCTTTTCAATTAAGAAAGTGTGGTTGGTTTCTACCAATTAACCCCTTATGTTTCAAAAATCAAATTAAGATCAGAGGTTACCCATTTCCTTCCTTAAATTAAGCCTAAATTTCCAAAATTACACATTTGCCCTTAAGTCTCTAACACTTCATAATTTATCAAATTTAATCCAAAT